TGGTAAAAATTTGGGAGTCATTGGATATGGATAAGGGGGGTGAAAACGGATTGGAAAAGTAGTTGGACGGTGATGAAACCTGAAAAACAGGTTCTGTCCATTTATGTGTTTAATATGATTTCAACCTTTACATGTAAATTAATTATCTCTTGGGCCTAGAAAATAGATTCTAAGGAGTATTAGGTTGTTGACAACAATTGGATGACATTGATGTTGGTAATTGGATTCGAGGAAAAATGAGACTTACGGGACGAGATTGTAATGCCGTTAGTAACTTGAATAATGAATTCGTTTAAATTATTTTGACGTGAATGGAAGTATTTTGGGATTTTGTGTGTGTTAAGGCTATTAAATGGAGGATTGTCTTTAATATTAAATGGTAATACAGGTGATTTTCCGACGTTGAGTGAAAAAGGAAAGTGATATAATCTCCGTAGGAGGTTGTGCACACACAAGGGCAAAAAGGTAAGTAAAAATCCATTTGCAACTACGATGCAAGAACCTAGCATTTGTGGTATAGCGATGTTAGGATATTTTCATACTTTGATAAGAAAGCTCGTTGTACCCTATATGATGATTATGATCATTGAGTATGCGGTTGCAAAATACATTGACATCAACTTCCATTAAGCATGTCATTCATGAGCATTTTCGTTGGCATGCACAACATATGATCATGGTTGAAAACTTTGCATGCGAAACATGATTTCAAAGTAAGTTTTCTTTGTAAATGTTTTATTGACCACTATTAGGGCACCGAGGCATGTGAGGCATGCTTATGTGATACGTTGGGCATCGCGGGTGATACTTCCTGGGTGATTGCAAAGGTAGACAGGGGATGGGCCTTTGGTGATCACGGGAGGGCGGACCACTCGACTATGCCCTTGTTATGATTATTGGCGCTGCCGGGTGGGAGACTTCTTGGGTGATCATAGGGGTAGTTAGGGGATGGGCCTGTAGCGTTCACGAGAGGATGGTCCACTCGCCGGTGTCGATTTCATATTGGCCATTTGATTATTGATATTGATATTATGCAGAGCTCTATCCGGTGCATAGTTGGTGGGTCAAGGTCCCAATGAAATGAAAGATTTCAAATGAAATAATTTCTAGTCGACTTTGATGAATATTAGAATATGTGCATCTTTACCATGATGTTTAAAGTAAATGACATGGTGTCACATATCCTTGTTACTCATACTCATGACATGCATGATTCTTGCTTACTAAGCATTGGGTTATGTAGTTCTTGCATTGTAGGGGAGCATGGAACTATGTAGAGGGCACGGCTAGCTGTGGAGCTCTTACGGGATTCCAAAGATCAATGTACATGAATGACGACCTGTAAGGTTATTTTGTGGGCTATTGTTTTGAGCTTACACTCTATTGTGTCATATTTTGGGGGTCCTGTCTTGTATAACTTTTGAAATGGCCTATAGATGTGTTTATGACCTTAGAACATACGTGTTGGATTATGGTTATATGATCGTTGATTTTGATATAATATATGATCATCACAGGTGATTTGAAGTTAACAAATAGGGACATAATTGTGCAAATGCTCGTTTCATTTTATTAAAAAAAAGTATATCTAAATTTCATGTCTAGATCGAGTTACCAATATCATTTCGACATAGGAATTAGTATGGTTATCTGTATATATTTGAGGTGTGACAGAGAGTGGTATCAGAGCAAGGTTATAATTCTGTAGACTATCCATGTACATGATCTCGGAGTACGAAAGAGCACAGCTAAGCCTATAAGTTTTATTTGTTGCATTACTTTTACATACTTCATGAATGATATTGGCCAATCTTTACTTACAGTCATGGTGAGAACCATGGATGCTAGTAGTAGTAGAGCTAGAACTCCAGCGCAAGGGGCTTCTGTTCAAGATGACAGTCAGGATGTTGTTATTGATAGACTAACGGAACTAGTTGAGCGACAATCTCAACAAATTCAACAATTAATACAACAAGGAGAAAGGGGAGAACATCAAAGGGAACATATTGAGGCAGTTGGGGAAAGATTTAGAAAACTAGACCCTCCAATATTTGAGGATACATTAGACCCAACAGCTGCAGAGGATTGGTTGAGAACTTTGGAGAATATGTTCAGGTATACGAGAGTTTCGGAAGTAGAAAAAGTAGTTTGTGCATCCTTTATGCTACGAGGTAGTGCTGGACACTGGTGGGATACGATGAGTAGTATTGAAGATGTAAATACCATGACTTGGGATAGATTTAAAGAGTTATTCCGTAATAAATATTTTACAACCCCAGTTTGAGCCATGAAGATGAATGCATTTATACAGCTAAGATAAGGAGGGATGACAGTGGGAGAGTATATTCGTAAATTTGAACTTATATCTAGGTTTGCAACCCACATGATTAATACTGATGCATTAAAAGTAGAAAGGTTTCTTGAGGGGTTTAGACCAGGACTATATAGAGATGTAAGTATGGTAGGAATCCAAGATGTTTCATAATCTCAAATTGCAGAGAGAGCATTAGTTGCTGAACGAGCTGAACAAAGAATTAGTCGTGCTCAAGAGGCTCGACGATAGTTTAGGCAAGGTCAAGGACAGCGTTGGCCTAGAAATGATAAGAAAAGAACTTTCCAAGGACAGATTCAGAAGCCTAAGTTTCAACCGAGACAAGGACAACAACATTGGGATCAGGGCAAACATCCGACGATAGATCAAGGAAAAGCCTTAATAGCACAACCATCTTGCCCCAGATGTGGTGGACAGCATACTGGAGCATGTCCTATAGAGACTAGGACATGTTATGTTTGTGGAAAGGTGGGACATCTTGCTAGAGCATGCCCAGGTAATCCAAATCCTATAGAGCAGAAGAAGGTACCAGCTAGAGTGTTTACCATTACTAGATCCAATGCTGAGGCAAATCCAGCAGTTGTAACAGGTAAATTTTCTATCTTTGGCATTCCAGCACTTGTACTATTTGATTCTGGAGCTACACATTCATTTGTTTCTACCGAGTATGTGAGAAGGCTGGGTAGGACACCTAATATACACGAGGTCAGTTATAGTGTAACTATTCCATCTGGAGATGTATAACAAACCAATCTAATTGTAAGAGCATGTGTGATCCTTATAGAAAATCAAGAGCTCTATGCATATTTAATTGTGTTAGATATGAAAGATTATGATATAATTTTGGGTATGGATTGGCTGTCAAGATATTAAGCTACTATAGACTGTAATAGAAAGTCAGTAACCTTTCAACTTTTGGGGAATAAACCATTTACATGCAATGGGATCGAAAAAGGTTTTAGAGTTCCAATCATATCGGTATTGAAAACACAAAGGTTACTAGATAGTGGGTGTGTATTAATGCAAAATGGTAAAGTCATTGCATATGCCTCTAGACAACTTAAAGAATACGAAAAGAATTATCCTACACATGATTTGGAACTCATTGCAGTTGTGTTTACACTTAAGATATGGAGGCATTATTTGTATGGAGAGAGCATTATTTGTATGGAGAGAGGTGTGAGATTTACACGGATCACAAAAGTTTGAAATATCTATTTACACAAAAGGAATTGAACATGAGACAGAGAAGATGGCTAGAATTGGTAAAAGATTATGATTGTGTTATAAACTATCATCCCGGTAAGGCTAATGTCATAGCTGATGCATTGAGTAGGAAGCCAACATCCAGTGTTGCGAGTATGATTATAACTCAAAAATCAGAATTGATAGATTTACAGAAAATGAGTATTGAAGTTGTGTCGCAAGGATTTGTAGAGGCTAAACTTGCAACGTTGACGTTTTAGCCAACTTTATTGAATAGAATTCAACAAGGACAACAGGAAGATGATTATTGTTCCAAGATAAAGAATGATATACATGATGGAGAAGCTTCAGATTTTCATATATTAGCAGATGATATCTTGCGATTTAGAGGACGATTATATGTACCTGATGCAGAAAATATTCGAGGGGACATTTTATCTGAAGCTCATACGACACCTTATTCTGTTCATCCAGGAGCTACTAAAATGTATAGAGATTTGAAATTGCATTATTGGTGGCCGAACATGAAGGGTGAGATAGCTAAATATGTGGGACAATGTTTAACCTGTCAACAGATAAAAGCAGAACATCAAAGACCAGCAGGAGCCTTACAACCATTACCTATCGCAGAGTGGAAATGGGAAAGAATCACAATGGATTTTGTGGTGAAATTACCAAAAACAACTAAAGGATATGATAGTATTTGGGTTATTGTGGATAGGTTAACAAAATCTGCCCATTTCATTCCAGTTTTTCCACTTATTCCATGGACCGATATGCTCAACTTTATGTACAAGAAATAGTCAAATTTCATGGAGTACCACTATCTATTGTCTTAGACAGGGATTCTAAGTTTTTATCTCTCTTCTGGAGAAGCTTACATAAGGCTTTGGGAACACAATTATCTTTTAGCACAGCTTATCATCCTCAAACTGGAGGGCAATCAGAAAGAACAATACAAATATTGGAAGATATGCTGAGGGCTTGTGTATTAGACTTCCAAGGCCAGTGGAGTAAATTTTTACCTTTGGTGGAATTCGCATACAACAACAGTTATCAGGCTACAATTGGAATGGCTCCTTATGAGGCATTATATGGTAGAAAATGTAGATCTCCAATTTATTAGGATGATGTTGGAGAAAGAAAATTTCTAGGACCAGAGATGGTTTGTGAAATGGCTGAAGTTGTGATACAAATACGTCAACGAATGCAAACTGCTCAAGACCGACAGAAAAGCTATGCAGATCAAAGAAGGAGAATGTTAGAATTCACAGTTGGTGACCAAGTATTTTTGAAGGTAGCGCCGATGTAAGGGGTTATGCGATTTGGAAAGAAAGAAAAATTGAGCCCGAGATACATTGGTCCCTTTTCAATTATTGAGAAAATTGGAAATGTTGCCTACAAGCTTGATCTTCCCTCATCAATGTCTCAAATACACAATGTGTTTCATATATCTATGCTAAGAAAGTATATTGGAAATCCTTCTCATGTATTGAGGAATGAACCAGTAGAGATAAAGCCAAATTTGACATATGAAGAAAAACCTGTTGAGGTTCTTCAACGAGAAGTAAAACAACTTAGAAGCAAGAAAATTCCATTGGTTAAGATATTGTGACGGAATCAGTCAACAGAAGAAGCCACTTGGGAAAGAGAAAATGAAATGCGGGTTAAATATCCTGAACTCTTTGGTAAGCAAATTTCAAGGACGAAATTTTTATAAGGAGGGAAGGATGTAATACCCCAAACTTCTTGTTATATATTTGGCCAATATGATTCATGCATTTCATGCTATTCACAATGTTATTTGCATTAGTTTTCTTAATTACTTTATCTTAAAATGGTGCATTCAATTATGGATATTTTAAGATTATAGTCTTCGACTCCTAGGCCTAGGTGTTGAATTTTGTCTTGAGCTATGATAGAAAATTAGGTTAACTAAATGTTGGAGATTGGCTTGATAAGAAATGGAATATCGAAAAGGTCGGAAATCGGTATCGACAAAAGTTCAAGCTTTCTATTCGGTTAATCGAGACCACCTTAAACCCTAGATAGGTAATTGAAATATTTGGGACATGATAAACAAAGGAACATGATCATGATGCGATGATATATGTCTCATATGACATTATAAATATCAAGGTGCGATTTGATGAAATCGGTCGAGAATGGGGTGTCAATCGGGTAAGTAATTAAATGAATAATTGAGGAATTAGCTCTATAAAATATTTTGGGATCTTAGGGCAAGTGAAATGGATTGTAAACACATTGACATAAGCCCAAGATACTTGATTTATACCTGCAAAGATAGATATAAAATCAGATTTTTTTACTAGTGACCACCTCATGCTTGGGATAGTTGTCATTTTAACACTCAATCCCTTCATCCTTAAGATATATAGCACGTCTCCTACCTCTTTTATTTAATATAGAGATATATATATCTTATAAATCAATATAAGTTAAATAGTCCAAGAGAAAAGTCAAATATAGTAGGAAAAGACCACCTCATGCTAAAAACTTGGCTGCACCCCACATTTTCTTAATCCATAAGGAAGAGTCACGTCTCCAGCATCTTGAACACTTTATATACACCTCCTAACAACATTTTTAGTCTTACAAATTATCCCCAATTGACCACCGATTGAAAGAGAAAGCAAAAAGGAAAAGAGAGAAGCAGAAACAAGGAGCTGAAATTGAATTTCTGGATAGGTGAGTTTAGCTCACGGTTTTGAAGTTTTTCTTTAGTTCTTTTGCTTGTTTTATAATATGTTTAAACTATAAACTTACTTGAGGCTAATTATAAGGGTTGTTTATGATTTTATGATGGCAAAAGAGGGGGGTAATTGAGTACAAGAACCTGAAAGAAATCAACAGGAATAGACATGTGTTGATTGACGAATTTGGATGGTTTAAACTTTGATTTTGGATAATACTGAAGATATAACTTGTATCTATGTAAATGAATGTTGTTATATGGGATTTAGAAGGATATAAATGGTCTTCTAATAGCCTGGAATCTGTTTGATGGCATGCTAATAAAATGGAAACCGAAAACTGTCACAATGAAAACTGCCTGATTTTGATGTCGTGGAAATGGACTATTTTGATGCTGAGAACACTTGATTTGTCACGACTTTAGAGCATTATTTCCTTCACATACATGTTATAGAAACGTGGTAAAAATTTGGGAGTCATTGGATATGGATAAGGGGGTGAAAACGGATTGGAAAAGTAGTTGGACGGTGATAAAACCTGAAAAACAGGTTCTGTCCATTTATGTGTTTAATATGATTTCAACCTTTACATGTAAATTAATTATCTCTTGGGCCTAGAAAATAGATTCTAAGGAGTATTAGGTTGTTGACAACAATTGGATGACGTTGATGTTGGTAATTGGATTCGAGGAAAAATGAGACTTTATGGGATGAGATTGTAATGCCGTTAGTAACTTGAATAATGAATTCGTTTAAATTATTTTGATGTGAATGGAAGTATTTTGGGATTCTGTGTGTGTTAAGGCTATTAAATGGAGGATTGTCTTTAATATTAAATGGTAATACAGGTGATATTCCGACGTTGAGTGAAAAAGGAAAGTGATATAATCTCCGTAGGAGGTTGTTCACACACAAGGGCAAAAAGGTAAGTAAAAATCCATTTGCAACTACGATGCAAGAACCTAGCATTTGTGGTATAGCGATGTTAGGATATTTTCATACTTTGATAAGAAAGCTCGTTGTACCCTATATGATGATTATGATCATTGAGTATGCGGTTGCAAAATACATTGACATCAACTTCCATTAAGCATGTCATTCATGAGCATTTTCGTTGGCATGCACAACATATGATCATGGTTGAAAACTTTGCATGCGAAACATGATTTCAAAGTAAGTTTTCTTTATAAATGTTTTATTGACCACTACTAGGGCACCGAGGCATGTGAGACATGCTTATGTGATACGTTGGGCATCGCGGGTGATACTTCCTGGGTGATTGCAAAGGTAGACAGGGGATGGGCCTTTGGTGATCACGGGAGGGCGGACCACTCGACTATGCCCTTGTTATGATTATTGGCGCTGTCGGGTGGGAGACTTCTTGGGTGATCATAGGGGTAGTTAGGGGATGGGCCTCTAGCGGTCACGAGAGGATGGTCCATTCGCCGGTGTCGATTTCATATTGGCCATTTGATTATTGATATTGATATTATGCAGAGCTCTATCCGGTGCATAGTTGGTGGGTCAAGGGCCCAATGAAATGAAAGATTTCAAATGAAATAATTTCGAGTCGACTTTGATGAATATTGGAATATGATGCATCTTTAGCATGATGTTTAAAGTAAATGATATGGTGTAACATATCCTTGTTACTCATACTCATGACATGCATGATTCTTGCTTACTAAGCATTGGCTTATGTAAAGCCCAAATTTAGTTCGCAATTCACTCAACACTCACTCATTCTATCATTTAAGTATAGATATTGCCCTTGTTTTCAGCCGCTTCCCTCTCACAAGCCACGACTTCACCTTTACTCCTCAA